CCCTGGTTTAGAAGTTATTGAATAGAGAAGATTACATGGTCTTTGTCTAGACAACTGGTTTTTTTGCTCGCTTTGCTGCTGCATCTGCTCTTCTTTTCTTGGGGACACGAGCCTTGGGAAGAATTGATTTTCCAATACGGTGATGCCTACGGTAAAGCCGATACAGTTTTTCCAAGACGGAAGTCTTCTAGGAATGGTATAATCGTTAAATATAGTTATTACACAGTAAACCTATTTGAAATCACTCACCACCTTGATTCGATAGAAATCTTCGTCACTGAATATCTTACGAAGAGCCTTGACATTCTGTAATAGATAGGCAGTACAGTACACTACTAGTACTCTATTTTCCAGTCCTACTGTACTTTTGTTTCTTGATGTTTACCCCTCCAGATGTGTTTAGCCATATGGTAGAATCTAGCGATCTCGTCGGCTTTCTGTAAACGATTCAATAATTAATTATGAGAAAATAACCAGGAGAACGCTTGTTTACTATGACCTACCTCTTTGAGACGCTCGAACTGCCGCTCTCTGAGGAACTCACGGAAAGCACGCTCATGCTGTAATGAACAGATGACCCAACATATGTACAGGGGAGAGGCAGGGACAGAAAAAGACTGCTCCTTGTGAGCACCATCACAGGTTTGCGCCGCACGCGGTTACGAGGTGGATCCCAGGTACAAAGTCAACGAGGTGTTCCCTCAGAGCAGGAGCAAACTCCCCTTTTGCTTCCACCGCCATGAGAAGGGGAAGATCGTCGTGGAGCTCAAGAAGGCCTTCAATATTCGCCTCAGCCTTAAGCAGGTGCCCAGCTCCCAGAGTTGAGTGCTCCCTAGTGTAGGTTCCCGGAGCTGTGGTACTGAAAGACACCCTTGGATTCTGGCGTTACTGGAAGGTATTGGAAGAGAAAGAAAAGTCTACTGCCGTTTGGGCAACTTCACGGTTTAGCGCTGTTTCTCATAACACGACTGTAGTGACCGAGTTGATCAACGAGGGCCTGGGGCACCACTCAAGCCGCCTCGTCGAATCCGAGGGTGCAGTGATTCATGCAATAGTCCAACCAAAAGGCCAAAGTGTCCATTTACCTCACCAATCCGTGCAACAAGAGTTTTCGGTTATGATTCTTGAGCTATGTGTCTTTTTACGCCTTCTGTGGAACCGATTTCAATGATAAATTTCTGACTCACTATAGCGCAGTGGCTAGTGGCTTTTCGTACGCATACATCGTCCGCAAGATCAAATCCAATGCTTCACTCAAACCATTCATCTATTTCCTACTGGCTACTTGGCAACAACGATCTTCTGTGTAAGAACGGTAGAGACATTCTCTATTGCTGCTACATCCTGTGGGATGGTCATGCAGTTATGTTTAGTGCTTTTACAATTATGGACTCAAGTAAAATACATAGCACTCCCCCTAGAGGCGATACAAAGAGCCCACTCTCGTCCTTTTATGGCAGCTGGTCTTTTTGGAAGAGCTTATGAACCTCTGAAAAAAATTGTCTGACGTAAGAGGAAATTGATTCCAGGCGCTGTATGGATGGGGGGGGGATTCGTTCAATCTTGCTAGCCTTCGCTAATTTCTGGGTTAATTGTTCACCGTCCAGCAGTCTCACTGAAGATCTATACAACATCTTGTTCAAATGTAAGCGAACTCGTGTTACTGTGTTGGCTTTACATGGAATTGCATGTCCCCTGTCGGCAGTGAGCGTTGGAGACAGCAGAATGCCTCCACCAAGCCGAACAGAGCCAATTTGAGAGCGTGTTCAAGTCGCGTTAGATTTGTGCGCCACGAAACGTGACTTGAGCACGCGGAGTTGCAAGTGGCACGTTACCACGTGCGCGTCTGGGGATCAAGTTCCGGATCGGCTCCCACCCAGGTCAACCAATCCTTCTACCCTACGGTACACGAAATCGGTAGCAAATTCGGCTGGGACTCGAACAACGGCTGGCCTTCCAAAAAGTCACTTTATGGGCCACATCATTCAATAAATCATTGAGATTCTGACTGGAAGTGGAATACGTGCCTCATCCCCGTGGCGGAACTGACTAAGGGCGAAGACCTCATCCTTTTATTGTCAACTAGCGGATGCGGGGTATTTTATAGACGAGTGTTAAATTTTTGCCCTTCACTTTCGTGCAGGGTAAACTAATTTGCCTTCAAGAGAGCAAGAAGCATGAGTGACGTAGGCGTGGGGTTTGATCTTGCAGTCCGATTTTGTGCGATACCGCGCCGTCAGCCACTACGTCACCCACGCAGACGCATATTACTTACCGCAAGTCGCATGTCGATCAAATGCTCAAATTTGGGTTTCTCGTGAGTACCGGTCGGCTGCATCTTGCTGATGACACTTTCGTATCGTTTTTTGAACGTGTTCACTCCCTCAATGAGCGCATTTATTACCATTTCCTGCATTTGCCAGTATTTTCGCAGATCAGCTGTGATCACGTCGAACCATTGCTTAAACACAGATCGGAGTATTCGGAAAACTCAGCCATACTGTAGGTACCGTAGCAGTTTCTTACCGTAACATTATGCTGTTTTGCCCATACTTCCGCTTCTAGTAGAATCGTCGGCTTTCTCTCTTTCTTCTGTGTCAATATCCTACCCAACGTGTAAATATCGTCCGTGGTCAGGTCGTGACTTGCCAGGAAAAAACGGACTAGTTTCTCTATTTCAGCTCTACTAGCTTGCATCAGATTTTTGGTAGTACTCTTTTCGAAGAGACCGTAGTAGTCAATCAGTGGCTTGGTGTTCTGGTCACTTTGGCATTGACGAATAACGCCATTTAGAAGCAGAACACAAAGAATGATATTCATGCTGAAAAGAGTTCAAGGCTAAGTAAATAGTTGGTATATTCAAAGCTTAAGACAGAGCCCGCTACAAGACATCACGGGTGAGGATGCGTTCATACTTCGCAGCGGCGTCAAATAGCGTCCACTAGCGCTCATTAACGACCGGTAGAGAGAGTATGGATAGAGAGTATGAATAAAAAGGACGGTAGCAAACAGCTGGATTAGGCGTCGTGGAATTGCGGCGTGTGCAATCGCACTCACAACTGCTGAAGCACAGAATTATGCATTTCACTGTACGCTGTAGTGTAGTTGTAGCACATGCCACAGTTTTCACGACGCCCAATTCAGCTACTTGCTACTTTCCTACTTTCCCATACTCCCTACTCCCGGTCGCTGGTCAGCGCTGATGGACGCTGATAGCTAGTTGGCAGACGCTAGCAGAAACTGCCTATACCTACACTGATACCTATACTTCCCTAGCCCTCGAGACGCTGGCCAACGCTGCCGGGCGCTGGTAGACGCTGGTAGATGCCGCCGTTCACTGGATGGATACCTACACTTCCTAGTCGCTGATGCTGCCGGACGCTCGGAATGCAAGTGGATGTTGGTGGACGCTGGTAGACGCTAGTGCACGTTGCAAGTTAAGAACGGAGCCTAAGGGGGTCGATTAGAGGGATGCAAAGGTGCCACAAAGCTCAACAGTGAAGACAGAAGCCAAAAAGATCCGTCACAAAAGACTGAATGAGACCCCCTTTGCGGCGCTCCAATCCACGCCCTGTCGTTTGCAGGGCTGACTTTATACAATAATATCACTTTACAGCTGGATGCTAGACTGCACTGGTAGGTTCTTGTGTGATCTTGTTATGGCCTGGTCTCTAGGAATATGACTAATCGCGCGGACGTTACCCTTACAAGCACAGAAACCGCCTGGCATGTGGGCGAAGCGTACGTAAAAGGCCCAAGCCGGTCTTACCATTGAGGATGAGGACGAAGTTAAGCGTCAGAGGTTGGGAGAGGGGGAGGTTCGAAGACAAACACCGTCCTTCTATACTGTGGATAGTGATGACGTTAAGCACCCTAAGTAAGGACCCAGGAAAGTCAATGAAAAATCCCGCAGTACGCCCTGAGTAAGGATCTGACAGCTTCACCAGACGAGTTCTCCGGTTCTGCTCATTTATGCCATCAAAGGAGTACCCTGCCATCAAAGGAGTACCCTGCTAAAGGAGTACCAAACCGACATTGCGGAGTAAAAACTGAACTTGTTTCAGAAAACAGGATTTGATCTTCAGTGGGTGGGACAACTAGGGAGGCGTCAGAGCTGCCACTTTTGAGAGCCGCATCGCCTTTGTCATCTAGTGCCGCGAAAGTGATATAATCTTACAACGGAAGGAGTGGGTCGAAAGGGCCGTTTGAAA